GCAACCTCCGCCTCCTGGGTTCAGGCAATTCTCCTGCCTCAGCCTCCTGAGTCGCTGCGATTACAGGCACGCACTACCATGCCCAGCTAATTTTTTGTATTTTTAGTAGAGAGGGGGTTTCACCATGTTGACCAGGATGGTCTCGATCTCTTGACCTCGTGATCCACCCGCCTCGGCCTCCCAAAGTGCTGGGATTACAGGCTTGAGCCACCGCACCCAGCCCCGCGTGTTTCATTTTTTACGAGCATGAACCAGCGTGCCTGGCCGTGTGTTCATATTTCTAAATAATATGTCGTTAGTTTTTAATTTAAAAAATTTTTTTGTGGGTACTAACAGCATGATTCCAACTATATGACATTCTGGAAAAGGCAAAACTATGGAGATAATAAAAGATCAGTGGCTCCCAGGGGTTGGTGAGGGGGCAGGGGTTGGAATAGGCAGAGCACAGTGGATTTGTAGGGCGGTGAAAATACGCTGTATGATATCATAGTGATGTGTACATGTCATACATTTGTCTAAACCTGTGGAGTGCTGAACATCAGGAATGAACCCTAGTGCAAACTATAGATTTTGAGTGATGATGTCAGTGCAGGTTTGTCTATTGTAACAACTGCACCACTCTGGTGGGGATGCTGATGATGGGGGAGGCTGTGCGTGTGTGGGAGCAGGGAGTACATTGGGAACTCTCTGTACTTTCTGCTCTATTTTGCTGTGAACTTAAAACTGCTCTTGGCCAGGTGCAGAGGTTCGTTCCTGTAATCCTAGCACTTTGGGAGGCAGAGGCAGGCAGAGTTCAGGAGTTCAAGACCAGCCTTGCTTGTGGCTTGCCTGGGCAATACGGGGAAATCCCATCTCTGCAAAAAATACAAAAATTAGCCAGGTGCAGTGGCACGCATGTGTAGTCCCAGCTACTGGGAAGGCTGAGGTGGAAGGACCGCTTGAGACCTGGAAGCAAAGGCTGCAGTGAGCTGAGATTGTGCCATTGCACTCTAGCCTGGGAGACAGAGTAAGACCCTGTCTCAAAAGAAGACCGCCCCCCACCAAAAAAAAAACCAAAACAAAACTCTCTTTAAAAAAAGACAAGGCCGGTTGCAGTGGCTCATGCCTGTAATCCCAGCACTTTGGAAGGCTGAGCCGGGCAGATCACGAGGTCAGGAGTTCAAGACCAGCCTGACCAATGTGGTCAGGCGTTCAAGATTGGCCTGGCCAACATGTAACACCCTATCTCTACTAAAAATACAAAAATTAGCTGGGTGTGGTGACATGCGCCTGTAATCTCAGCTACTCAAGGGGCTGAGGCAGGAGAATCGCTTGAACCTGGGAGGCGGAGGTTGTGATGAGGTGAGATCGCCCTAGTGCACTTCAGCCTGGGCAACAGTGAAACTCCATCTCAAAACAAAACAAAACAACCAACCAAAAAACAAAAACTAAAAAACAAAACACAAACACACAAAATTGTTACCATACATATGTAGTCTCAAGTTTCTCTCTCTTTTTCTCTTTTCTCTCTTTCTTTTGCAGAGTTTCACTCTCACCCAGGCTGGAGTGCAGGGGCGCGATATTGGCTCACTGCAACCTCCACCTCCCAGATTCGAGCTGTTCTCATGTGTCAGCTTCCTGAGTAGCTGGGATTACAGGCGCACGCCACCACAGCCAGCTAATGTTTGTATTTTTAGTAGAAATGGGGTGTCACCATGTTGGCCAGGCTGATCTTGAACTCCTGACCTCAGGTGATCCGCCTGCCTCGGCCTCCCAAAGTGCTGGGATTACAGGCATGAACCACCGTGCCCGGCCGTTTCTTTCTTTTTTGTTCCCCAACGTGAGTCACCATTTGTTCTAGTACCATTTCTTAAATAGTGCTTCCTTTGCTCACCACCCTGTCATACATCAAGTATGTTTACATGTGCACCTGTTCCTGCAGTCTCTGTTCTGTTCTGTTGATCACTCTGTTTATCACGGCATTGATAACTCTTACACTGTTAATTACCATGGCCTTATAAATAGTCTCAGGGTTTGGTAGACAGAGAGATTTTAACTTTCCATTATTTTTCCACATTCTCTGCTCCATCTGATCCCCACAAACTCTGTCTGAGGTTGGGTGATAAAATATTTATCTGGCATTACAGACAAGTCATAAGCCTTACCCAAGGTCAGGAATCAAGACAAGAACTGACTCCATGCAGAGAAAGGGCAGTGTTGTTCTAATTGCACACATATCTGGTGGAAGAATCAATGGTGTGGTTTGTTTTTACAGAGCCTTTAAACATCGGGGGCATTGTGGGAACCATTGTCAGCCTCCTTCTACTGGGACTGGTCATTATCTCAGGGCTTATGTTGTATCACAGCCCCGTGCTCTGCTGGAAAGGTAAGGGCTTCTCGGTCCTTTAGCTTCTTCCCTTCCAGGCTTCTGGAAAAGGTGTGGGTTGGGGAAGGGTGGCCCCTGTCATGCTTCCACCTGAAGTTCCATATGCTGGGCTCCTTCGATGGGTCAAGATGTACAGCAATAAGTCACCTAAGTACCATCCCAGGACACCCTACCGCCTGTCATATTGAGTCAGTTTTCTTATTTGTTTCTCTAGTAAATGTTAGCCTGCTTAAGAACCTGTGAGATGGAAGTGGATGTTACTGGATATTAATGGTTTTTCCTTTCTTTCTTCAGTAGGAAACACTTTCAGGTGAGTGTTCCTTAGACTTAAATCAAAAACCCATTTTTGTGATCTGCCTTCACTCCCGTTTTGTTCCATTCCTTTCATAAGAACAATAACAGCCACTACCATTGAGGACCTACAAAGTGCTAGACATGGGTCTAGGGGTTTCATCAGGCATTCTTCTAAACCCGTTCATCATCTCCTTGGGGTGGTGGTGACGTCTCCATTTTCCAGATAACGGGATGGAGGCTCAGTGAAGTAATTTCTGTAAGCTCATTCAGGAAGTAAGCAGCAGTGCCTTCCTTCAGGTCCAGGTCTAATTGATTCCAATGTCAGTATTCTTTACAATACCAAACCTCAGGGCTGGATACATTGTAGGTCTGTCATTGAGACAGAAAGACAATGTGTACATTTTGAGCCAGTCACTCATGCGTTTATTTTATTTAATTTTCTGAAAAGAGCTAAAAGGAAGAATCTTCAGTCATGGTCTTACAGTTTTGTTTTTGCTTTTTGTAATTTTTGAGACAGAGTCTCACTCTGTCGCCCAGGCTGGAGTGCAGTGGCATAGTCTTGGCTCACTACAACCCCCACTTCCCAGGTTAAGGCCATTCTCTTACCTCAGCCTCCTGAATAGCTGGGATTACAGGTGCGCACCACCACACCTGGCTAATTTTTGTATTTTTAGTAGAGACGAGGTTTTACCATGTTGGCCAGGCTAGTCTCGAACTCCTGGCCTCAAGTGATCTGCCTTCCTTGGCCTCCCAAAGTGCTGGGATCACAGGCATGAGCCACCATGCCTGGCCAGTTTTACGGTGTTTTGGAAGAGTACTCTGAGCATACCCAGAAGCCCCTCCCAAAGGGAAACCCAAGTAGGGGCAAAGGAATCAAATGGAACTTGTGTATTTCATTTCCTAAGGAGATTCTATGTGGGAGCAAAGTACGCTTTTCTATGATCCTATGGAAAAACAGTTCTTTACCTATTCATAATGACAGGATATTATTGTTCTGGGACCATCTTTTGTAACAAAACATTACCTTTACTCCTCTGTATTTGGGCCATTCTCTCAATAAGCCTGTCGTTCCCTGGGCTTATTTCTCACAGGAGATGTCAGTGTGGTATAGTGGGAAAAGGCATTGGGACAAGTGGACCTGGGCCCAGATGATAGCTATGCCATTCCCAAGCCCTGTACCCATGGAAAATCCCTGACCCTCTCTGAGCCCGAGTCTCCTGATGTGTTTCACTGAGAGGGTTTGTGAAGATTAAATGAGAATGTAACGCAGCTCCTCGGGCAGGTGATTGACCTGTGGCATGCATTCTTTCTTCCTTAAGAAATGCACAGTCCAGGCTGGGTGCTGTGGCTCATGCTTATAATCCCAGCACTTTGGGAAGCTGAGGTGGACGGATCACTTGAGGTCAGGCGTTCGAGACCAGCCTGGCCAACATGGTGAAACCCCATTTCTACTAAAAACACAAAAAGTTAGCCAGGCATCGTGGCACCTGTAATCCCAGTTATTCGGGAGGCTGAGGCAGGAGAATCGCTTAAACCCGGGAGGTGGATGTTGCAGTGAGCTGTGATTGTGCCACTGCACTCCAGCCTGGGCAACAGAGCAAGATTTCATGTAAAAAAAAAAAGAAAAAGAAAAAGAAATGCATAGTCTGGCTGGGTAGGCAGAGTTAGTGAGCTGGCGGTAAACTACAGAGCAATTAAATGCTACACCGATGGGCGTGAACTCCAAATGCAATCATTAATTCCCACCTTTAGGGGGAGGGAGAGAACTTTACCTGGGTCTTCCATCATGAGGAGGAGGAGAGATATGGGTAAATAGAGCAGAATGAGGGCATTTCAGAAAAGAAAAACCATTTGTCCACCTGCTATAAGGGGACATGAAACTGGTAAATGCCTGAGACATGGTCACCTGCCCGAGGAGCAGGGAAGGAGTAATGAAACAAACCCAGCATGAGATAAGATCATCTGAAGCAATTTGTGGCAGCATCTGTCTCTGCGGTTACAACCACACCATCATCTCATGACTTCACCCAGCTGAGTGCATGAGGAAGTTTCCACGTTGCTAATGGGGTTGCAAAGAATCTAGTGTTTCCTATTCAGTGAGGGCTCGAGTTGGGAAAAATAGGAAATCTTATTCTTCCTCCTTTGGTAATTAGGGGCCAAAACATGGATGATGTCATGGTTTTGGTGGATTCAGAAGAGGAAGAGGAGGAGGAGGAGGAAGATGCTGCAGTAGAAGAGGAGGAAGGAGCACAAGAGAGAGAGGAGTTCCCAAAAGAAATACCCAAGCAGAACCACATTCATAGAGTGACCGCCTTGGTGAATGGGAACATAGAACAGATGGGAAATGGATTCCAGGATCTACAAGGTAAGCTCTTTTTCCTTAAACAAAAAAACAGAAAACAGAAAAACCTCTGATCTAGGCATGGTGGCTCAAACCTGTAATCCCAGCACTTTGGGAGGTCAAGGCAGGAAGATTGCTTGAGCCCACAAGTTTGAGTCTAGCCTGGGCAACATAGAGAGACTCTATCTCTTAAAAAAAAAGAAAAATTAGCTGGGTGTGGTGATGTGCAGCCAAGGCTGGAGGATCGCTTGAGTGTAGGAGGTCCAGGCTGCAGGGAGCTATGATTATGCCACTGCACTCCAGTCTGGGCAGCAGTGGAAACCTGTCTCAAAAACAAAAAAACAAACAAAAAAACCCCACAAACCTCTGAACTGCTGCAGTGAGCTTCCCAATAGGAAATCTCTAAGGGGTGAGTTTGGTTTTCTAAGGTTGGGGAAGATAGCTAAACTTTAGTCTAGAACCTGAGACTACTATCAACTACCAACACAAAAACTGACAAACATTTATCAAGGTCCTGCTCCAGGATAGGCACAATATTGTTATTGTGGGAGAAGAAAAGTGAGATAGGTAGCGTCTCCATACAGGGAGCTTTACAAGACCAATTCAGGTGAACAAACTAAAACCTGCAAGGGAAATGGAAACAGGAGCAAGACTGAACCAACACTTTGAGAGAGCAGTAGAGAAGCTGTTGCTGGAAGATATTCGATTAATTGCTTGATGGACCATACATTTAAAAATTATAGGTGCAGCTGGGCGCAGTGGCTCACGCCTGTAATCCTAGCACTTTGGGAGGCTGAGGCAAGTGGATCACCTGAGGTCAGGAGTTTGAAACCAACCTGATCAACATGGAGAAACCCTGTCTCTACTAAAAATACAAAATTAGCCAGGCCTGGTGGCATGTCTGTAATCCTAGCTACTTGGGAGGCTGAGGCAGGAGAATCACTTGAACCCAGGAGGCAGAGGTTGTGGTGAGCCAAGATCGCACCATTCACTCCAGCCTGGGCAACAAGAGTGAAACTCCGTCTCAAAAAAAAAAAAAAATATATATATATATATATATATGTGCAGTGATTCATGCCTATAATCCCAGAACTTTGGGAGGCCAAAGGGGAGGATTGCTGAAGCCCAGGAGTTTGAAACCAGCCTGGGCAACATGGCAAAACCCGTCTCTACTAAGAATACAAAGAATTAGCTGGGTATGGTGGCATGCATCTGTAGTCCCAGCTACTTGGGAGCCTGAGGTCAGAGAATCACCTGAGCTTGGGAAGTTGAGGCTGCAGTGAACTGAGATTGTGCCACTGCACCAAAAATTATGGGACCTCAGACAAAGATTAGAGCCTGGAGGGGTGCACTGGTCAGGGGAAGCTTTATGGAAGAGATGGACATGAAGCAAGCCTTTAAGGACAGTTGAGTTGGAATAAGCAGAAAGGAGAGAGGGTGTTTTAGGTGAGGGCAGGGGCCTGAGCCAAGGACATGAAGGGTGGTCAGTATCAAGCATGCCTAGAGGTTTTGAATGCAGAAAACAGGTGAAAAGGGGAAAACACACCTTGCCCATGAGATCCCATTCTGTAGCTCACCAGGAAAGGACTAGAAATCCCTGATTGATGACTGATCGTGGAAATAGAAACACACTCTGATTAGCAAGCATTGGGTTTATTTTCCCCTGTGCAGATGACAGCAGTGAGGAGCAAAGTGACATTGTTCAACAAGAAGACAGACCAGTCTGAAGACGACGATGCTCCATGGTTGTCTTGTTCTGAACGCTTGGAAAGCTACATTGAAGATGAGCTCTTCATTCAGCTTTGACTTGATCTACACCCCTGATGGGGGGCTGGCACTAGCAACGTTTGGGTCTTAGCAAAAAACAAAATCAAGCGCACACATCTTTCCTTCCATTTATTGAAAAACATTGGTTTGGTTTGCTCTAAGTATTCCCACCGATGTTTAAAAGCTTTGAGAAGGAAGGCTGCTTTGCTGTCTGAGGTGCCATTTCTGCTGTGAATCCTGGCTTTGTCCAGGTTGATCTACTGTGACAGATGCTGATTTGGAGGGAGCCCGGGTAAGGGAAGCACTGAGTCTTGGTGCCTTTTGCCACTATTGTTTTTTCTTTTCTTTTTTTTTTTTTTTGAGACGAAGTCTCGCTCTTTTGCCCAGGCTGGAGTGCAGTGGCGTGATCTTGGCTTACTACAATCTCCGCCTCCTGGGTTCAGGTGATTTTCCTGCCTCAGTCTCCTGAGTAGCTAGGACGACAGGTGCGCACCACCATGCTCGGCTAATGTATTTGCATTTTTAAGTAGAGACAGAGTTTCACTATGTTGGCCAGGCTGGTCTTAAACTCCTGACCTTGTGATCTGCCTGCCTCGGCCTCCCAAAGTGCTGGGATTACAGGTGTGTCCACTGTGCCTGGCCTTCCTTTGTCACTATTAAAGGTTTGTAACCAGCTTGCCCTGGCACAAAAGGAGATGATAGGGAAACTTCCTTTATCACTGCCCAAGTGAGCTCATGACCAAGAAACCAGGCAAATAGTTGATCCCTGGAACAGGTTAAGTTTCAACTACCATAACCAATCAGAGGAAGGCAGTTTGGTTTAGGCTTTGGAGTTAGAAACACCTGCAGTTGAATCTGGGCTCTGCTGCTTCCTTCTTTCAAGGGCTAGGGCACGATTCTTTACCTCTCTCTTGGCCTCTATTTCCTCACCTGTAAAAATAGGTGAGGAAATTGCTCACCTATTGTTTCTTGTTCTGAAAGCTTGGAAAGCTACACTGAAGATGAGCTCTTCATTCAGCTTTGACTCGACCTGCACCCCTGGCGGGGGGCTTGCACTAGCAACGTTTGGGCCTCAGCAAAAAACAAAACCAAGCACACACGTCTTTCCTTCCATTTATTGAAAAACATCTTTGTAAGGTCACCTGCTAAATACAAAAATCTGACTTGAATTTGCACGCTTTAATGTTGCGAATCTGCTCTAATGAGGAAGACCTAGGGCTTAAAGGGGAACTTCCTTTCTCCAATTCTAGGAACCGGGACTCTAAAATGAGAAGCTGGTTGTCTGAAGTAACCCTGCAGGTGTGGTTGGGGAAAGTCTGTTTTCTTGGATGAAGGGACTGAACTATGCAAATCAGAGCACTGTCTTAACCATTTTTATTTCCCTGGAAATAGAATTGTTTTAAAAAGATTTAGGGAACTGGTAATAGGAAGTGCTTTTCATTATAACCTCATATTTTGCAGAGCTTCATATTTATATAAAAGCCTCCTAGGTGATACACTATTGGCTTGCAGACTCTCCTATGCTTCATTTCTCCTGTTGCTTTGAAAGAAGGCAGGAGACACATTTCATAATGGAGTATCTGGTGATAAGACCTGCTTGGGCAAACCAGCTCATCTGGACTGTTTTTCTTGGAAATGGGAAGAGGAAAACTTGTTTCCTTCCTGCTTCTTAAGGATATTCTGAGGGTACACTGATCAATAACACTAAATTTGGAATGAAGATAACGTGATGAGTTTAGGCTGCTGACGCTTCCAGTAGATCCTTGTATAGTTTTGAGATTTATGTTTTCTGATTTCATCTAAATTTCTTAAAGTCAGGGACCTTATAAGGGTGCAATGGATGTTTGCTAAATATGGAAATCTGACTTGAATTAGCACTCTTTAATTTTGAGTATCTGGTCTAGTGGGGAAGACTAGGGTTTAAAGGGGAACTTCCTTTCTCCAATTCTAGGAACTGGGACTCTAAAATGAGAAGCTGGTTGTCTGAAGTAAGCCTGCAGGTGTGGTTGGGGAAAGTCTGTTTTCTTGGATGAAGGGACTGAACTAAGCAAATCGCTAGAAGGATGCCCTGTCCCCTGCTCAGGACATTGGGGAGCTCAGGAGTGGGCTGCAATGTTTACCTCGCAGAAATAGCTGTGAATTGCAGTTCTACTAGCTTTTTGTCTTTTGTTGCAAAGTACCCCAGGTACTTAACCATTCTCAAAAGTGTAAATTAGCATCATTTTAGAATGATATACTCAGCTGGCTTCTAAAGTCTCTGAATGCTGAGTGAGTCTCTTCTTTAGGGTCCTTGGCAATCAAATTCCAGAATTGAAGAGTCTACTATTCAGAGGCCACAAGATTAAAAAAAGAAAACACAAAAACTGTTGAGGGGGGAAAAAAAATTCTAGCTGGGAACACAGAGAATGTTTTGTAAGATCACTGGGATATTTTCCACAACTTCCTCTTCTCTTGCACACGCATCTGTTGATAGGAAATATTTGAGGGTTTTTCCACTACTAAATGGGAGCTGCAAGGTTCTGGTGCTGAACACTATAAACCTTTAACCAGCTGAGCTGTGACTGCTGTCACATATCTGAGTCCTGTGTGTACATTAATATCCTGAGTCAGATAAAGTCCAGGTCTTCAAGTTTAAAGGATCTTTGAAGAATTAGGACTGCTTTTAAGACGATCCATGCCCAAATCCACAAGCATATGGACAATGGATTACAGTTGGTGTGGTAAAGTCCAAGTTGTTACATTGTGCTTTAAAAAAAATCTTATCTGCATGTATTGTTAACTTAGAGAACTTGAGATCTATTTACCAGAACCAGGAAGACAGACACTTCAGGTTCACTGCAACTGACTTTTTTTTTTCTCAAAACCTGGTGGGGACCCCAGAAGGGGGCTCCACAATTCTGTGGCTTTGATATTAGCTCCAATTCTCACAAGTACATACAAGGCCTGTAATTGCCACAGGAAAACACAGGATGGAAAATTGCAATAACCCATGCACTGAGACTATTATCCTTACTAGGTAAAATGTATCATGATGCAATAAGTGCCAACCGATATTTGTCACATTGGGACTGGCCAGGAACTGCTACAAAGAAAAACAGGCAGCTCCTTCTCCATTATTTACATTTTAAGATGTGGTGGGGGTTGGGAGAAATTAGTTCTGAGGTTATCATACGCATTTTTTTAAAAAGATAATGGAATAAAGCTATTTTTAAATAAGTGCTTTTGTGATCTTTATTGAGACTTGATTAGTAAACTGAAAAGACTTCGAAAAACGAGCTTGCCAAAGTTGTTTTTTTTTTTTTTTTTTAACCAGCTTTTTGCTTTTTAAATATTGTCAACAATATTCTTCCCCTTGCCCGCTCCCCGGCCTCCCCCCCTTTTCTTTTTGAGACGGAGTTTTGCTCTATTGCCCAGACTGTAGTGCAATGGGGCATGATCTCGGCTCACTGCAACCCGGGTTCAAGTGATTGTCCTGCCTCAGTCTCCCAAGTAGCTGGGATTACAGGCACCCGCCACCACCAGCTAATTTTTGTAGAGACGGGGTTTCGCCATGTTGGCAAGGCTGGTCTCGAACTCCCCACCTCAGGTGATCCACCTGCCTCAGTCTCTCAAAGTGCTGGGATTACAGGCGTGAGCCACCGCGCCCTGCCCCCTTACCCTTTTATTTTTTTCCATGACGTGTAGATAAAAAGGAGGCCTGGAAGACTCCAGGAATCGAAGGAATTGGGAGACAAAAAATGGAGACTCAGAAAATTGGAAAAGGGAAAAATGAGCGGGGGGAGGCTGGACAGTAAGACGGGGATCTTCAGGAGGTGGGAAATTAGCGATTAAAAGGGAGCAGAGGTGGAGTAGGCCGACACTGGTGCCGGGATAAAAGTGGAGGCCCAGAGAAAGGGGTGCGCTGGGCCGTTTTTTAAAATTGAGAAACAGAAAATGAAATACCCAGTGGAAAATGAAGGGTGAGAACGTGGCATGCTAAAGTTAAAATGGGCGGCGAGGAAAGAAAAGGCAGCCAGAGGAAAAGGGGGAGATCAAGAAACTGGTGGGTCCAAAAAAAAAGAAAAAAAAAAAACCAAAACCGGCCAAGAGGGGTGAACAGGTGTGTAACCCAGGAGGCCAGACGGGACACAGGCAGTAAAGGTCACAGGAAGGACGTACCGAGGGCTCATAAAACAGAGGCCTGGGTCAAAAAAAAAAAAAAAAAATTAACATGGAGGGACCATGGTGGAAAAGAACATGGGAACCGGGAACCTGAGTTACCGTAGAAAATAGGTTGCGTTAGAAACCAAAGAAGTTTAAAATGGAACCACTGCGATCCGGAGCTCTGCGACCAGTGACCGGGAAATGGAGAGGACACTGGAAGGGAAGCGAAGAAAGGCGGGGAGAAAGGAAGGAGAGGCGGAAGGGTGACTTGAAGGAAGTTGACACCAAGAACCGCGGGAAGAGCTTGGGCCCAGAGCAGAAAAGGGAAGCCCTCCAGTGGGGGGTAAGGGGAGGCATTCTGGGGACTACGAGCTCAGCTCAGGAAGAAATCCCCACGCCACTGACATTACGGGGGACCGGACAACTAAGAAATGGGGTCTTTCAGGCATGAAAAGTCTCCGTGATGACTCCAGCCCTGGCCCTGGAATGTCAGAAAGGGGGCGTCCGCCCGAAGCCAGCCATTTCTGCAGGCCATGCAGGTAGAGAGGAGAGCAGGCTGCTCAGGGGGACGGGGCAGACGAGGCTGTCGCAGTAGGCAGCTAGGACAGTCTCCCGAATCGCCGCATGCCCCGTTTCTATCCTCGTTCCCACCTCCGCTCCGGTTTCACCCTGCCCTCCTCCCCCCCTCACGCCCCATTTTCTCCTCACTTCCCCTCCCATTACCGGAGCCGTTCAACAGCCCCCATCGTTTTACCCTACCCCTGACCCTTGCCCCTCCCCCCCATTCAAACCCATATCCTCCCCCGGCCCCCGGCACCCGGTTATTACACCTTTCTTCCACCCCCACTCCCTCCCCATTTTCCCCTAAGCCCAGATCTCCCCCAGGTTTCTCCTCGGCCAGTGTTCCCTCCACCCTATTCTCCCGCCCCCATTTTTACCCGTTCCCCGCCATCAGGCTTCGCAAAGCCCCATCTTTACCTGCCCCTCCCCTGAACTTCGCTTCAGCCCCTTTGGCTCCCCTCCCCCCACCGCCGTCAGTCCCCCGCTCCCT